CTGACTGGTTGGTCCCGCCTCCTCAAGTTGTTTAGTCCCACCTTCTCCACAATCTGATTTTCATTCTGCCCTCAGAATAATTTTGTGTAAGTAAAACTCCTATGAACGGAAAAGAAAGGCAGTGACCTGCAGGCTATATTTGGTGGAGGATCTGCAGAGAGGATGACAGAATGACTGGAACGGAGTAAAACAATAAAAAAAACATGAATTCTGCCTCCATCACACATTAATTGTCAATGTGAATTTGTTACATTTTATTAGCCAGAATTCATATTACAGAGAATCCCAAAAACAGCACAGCATAGGAACAAGGCTTCATAAGACGCCGTGAGACTCTGCTGATGCCACTCAGACATCGACAGAATGTCTCTCTGTAAGGCCAGCAGCGACAATGAGCAAAGCCCCCCCCCCCACCTCGTTATTAATCAGCGTCGTTCTCACTTCCCTGCCAAGATCGAATGCTGCGCATCTCGTTATGATAGAAGTCGGAATGTATGCGGCGCGAAAGTAGCTTAATGAGTGATACTTTTCCTGCTTTCTAGGGCAAATCTGTGCCGTGTCACGACACAAGGCTTGAGGTTGTCGTCGTTGTCGTCTTTCTCCGACCGCATTTAGCCTACATGGACACATTTCCGGAATGTCCTTCCAGGATGTGGTGCCGAAAGGCAGCTTGGTGATGGATAGTGCAGCCTGTACAAGCACGGAAAAGGCCCATTCAACTTCAGGTTTGCTTAAGGGGCCACACCTGCCTGTGCAATCACACTGTTCCTGTACGGATTTAACAAACAGGAAGCAGAGGTGGAGATGGCATACAGATGTCGAGTGAACGGGCCAGAGAGGTTCGTAGATTTTGCAGGGTATTAGCTACAAACGGGTTCATCCTGGTTTAGCTGCATGCACGTGAATCACCCTTCTGGAAACGTCTTCATGCTGCTAGGATCCCCTCGTCACATGCTCCGCCCAGAAAGCGACCTCTGTGTTAGTTATCTAAACGTACCTACACAGCTCATTAGTCTACAGCAGTAGCTGCATGAGCAAAAACCTGATGCTTCATTGTCTTTCACCCTTCAGCTCTTGCTGATATTTCCAATCATTTCTGGACCATCTGTGGAGCAATTTTTTTCCCCAGGTTGCCCAATGAGCTGGAAATGATGTCTTATCTGAAGGGGGGGAAAAACATTCAATTAAGAGCTTAATGAACAGTATTTAATTAGGAGGTCACTTGAAGCACAGCTGACAGGCACAAACCGTGAATTTAGTCTTTGTTTTCATATGTAATAAATTTTATCAGCATAAAATTTTATCTCTTCATAAATGGTTGGTGCTTTTGAGGAGAATGGTTAAGATTAAGAATTTAGTCATTTCTTATTACTCGAGTGTTCTGGCTCTGAAGGTCTGGTTCAGAGATGTTCCTTCCCAAAATGAAGAATAGACAGAGAGTTTTGATGATTGCTGTTGTGTGGGTGTTGGTAGACGGCAGAGGAGAGCAGGTGACGTGTCACGGAGCTGTCCAGGGGTCCCTCTCTGTCATCACGTGACCTCCTTCCTGCTGGTGTCTTGAGAAACTGCTGCAGAAGGAGAACATCAGCACTTTTTTTGAGAACAATAGTAAGGTCAAGATGGGACATCGCATTAAGCATACTGGGTTTGTGCTGATTTGATATGTATACCCACCTGGGGGCCTGGAGAGAACATTACTCAGAGAAATGTTCTGCTGCGCTGGAGGACGGAGTTTGGACATCCATCATCACTCGGATAATGTAATGTAGCACACAGTGCTTAAGCATTCACCCTTAATATCTTAATTAACAGCCAAAGGACTCTGTAAATAAGACAAAGTGGTTTACGGTGGCCAGTAGGAAATCCCACAATATGATCTGTTGTCCCATTGCCACATAAACTCCAAAGGCCATCTGAGGCATCACTTTACCCAAAATGCACCTGTATTCAAATGTCTCAGGCAACCCCCCCCCCCCCCAGACAGGGAAACGTTGGTGACAGGGGCCAAGGGTTGAGGGCCTTCCTCTTCCTGAAGGACATCATGTCCTCTCTTTCACGGCCAATTGGCCCCTCCGGGCAGAGATGGTGCCACGCTGTGATGGATTGACAACGCGGCGTAGTCAGGA